GACTTCCGGTCCACCGGTTCCGTTCCTCGTGCTTTGCCGGGCCTTGTTTTTATGGCTCAGAGCCCCTGCTGAGTTCCCTCCTGCGTCGGATGCCAGAACTGGAGACTCTGGAGATCGTGAAGTTGGTCAACTGCCCCGAGACCTTCACCCCAGACATGAGGTGTATCATGGGAGAGTCTCCTGCAGTGCAGGGCTACTATGTCCTGGTGGGAGTGAACTCTGCTGGCCTGTCGTTTGGAGGAGGGGCTTGAAGGTAAGTCTTTTTGCTTAGATTCTGCTTGCTGGGCTCTGCTCTGCTTCCTAGACTTGCTCGTTACTAATATGGTGTGGAATGTGTGTATAATCCGGTGTATTGATAGTAAGGGGGAGATACACATCATTTGAGGGTTGTCCCCTTTAAGGAATCATTGTGGGATATTCTAGCAATGTCACTGTGCACAGGGTTTCAGGAACCCTTATTTCAGAATTACCACAGAGCCTGTGGGATGTACTTTTGTATTTAATGTTGATCATTCGATGATCTGGAAATTTAGCAAGTGGTTTTGGAAGACAGATTCATGTGATTATCATAGACATGTTTGCCTATCTCAATTCACAGATTGTAGCTGCTCAACAATAGGTCAGTAAACAAAGACCAGTGACTATATTTTTAGATTATAGGGAAAGATCATGGGTGCTCCTCTCCATTTTCTTCTCTTCCTACTGTGTGTGCAAGAATATATAGAGAGCCCATTTTTCCATGCCAGCATGGGCTTTCACATGGATGGGGGATATGTCAAGTGCCATGTTCCTTACTGTGCAATCAACCATAAGGCGGGATGGGCGGTCAGATCCAGTGACTGAGACCATAACTTCAGATAATTGGGGACTTTCTCTACACCTGCCAGCCCTACACAAAGGGTAACATAATGCTTATGTCTTACCTTGGTTTCCACATTCTTTTTTTTTTTTACGCTTTGGTATAAATGGTTTTATGGGGAGTGCTTACCCCTTGTGATGGCAAATACATCAAGTTGCTATGCCAGAGTTATTAAAACGTCTCTTTATTCATATACAAACTTAATAACATGAAGAGAACATCTTAATTGGAATCTGGCTTGAAAGAAATACAGGGCATGATGTTAATACCACATTCATAGAGGCAGAAGTGCTCAGTCACCCTCGGTACCTAAAGTCACCAGGGCTCCTGAGAAAGATCCTATGCCCTAAAGTGCCTCACATGTCCTCAGCAGCACCTGTCACTGCACACTAAGGGGCTGAGCAAACTGCATATTTACAGATGTAAAGGAGGAGTTACAGCACTGTACAATAATTACAATGGCATTTTCCTGTATCCTAAGAGTAGACCGGAGAGTGAAGTGTTAACTGTGCTGCTAGAAACCCCTTGATTGAAACAAGCTGTGGAAACTTTCTATCCCTGTTTGATATGGGGAAGGGAAGCTATGGGGGGGTGGCTGGGGAAACCCTCAGACTGAGCGAAGTGTCTTTTCATCCTTCCTGTCTACACCTACCATGGGACATTCTGGTGTAAGGCACGAGAACCGGGCTTGGAGAAAGGTGCTCCAAGCTCCAGTTCCGGGTGTGCAAAGGAAATCCTGGCATAGATCTTTTGAAACAGATACTAAAAATACCTTCCCCACCCCTTGTAATTTCTGTCCTTTAGAGACAGAAAACCAAGAAGGCAGAAGGTTGGCGAAGGATAAAAATAGGTACATCTAAATATGAGGAAGAAAGCCCATGAAGAAATGTGTAATTCTCCAAGGGATGCAGATTCTCTGCTCAGAAGTCAAGAATCATATTATACAATGACTAAACTCTGGTGTGTAATGGACAAAGAGAAGGCAAAGACATACAAAAATAGTTCTCTTGAAAAATAGTGCATCTGTAGTGATGAGGGAGTGTGAACCCAGGTCCTGTACGGATGATGGAGGAGCCTTACAACTCAGCACCTTAACATGGAGGCCAGGGTGGGGGTCGCGGGGAGAGGCACAGCCAGGAGACCCGGAGCTTGCTCCCAGACTCTGTCACCTACCCTATCATCCCCTCTGACAATTTTTGACTCGTGCAAATTTTCCCTTTTTCATGCTGATGAAAAGCTGCTCCTGGCAAGTTTGGGAGGGATGTGGGTGAAGGGTGGTGTGCAGAAAGGAAATGAAAACCATGGAAAGTTCTTCAGTACTAAGCACTAGTGACCAAACCCCTACCTCAGATGCTAAAGGGGACCCTTGCTGATGATACTGACCATGCAGCTGCAAAGATACAAAACACTGAATCTGGTCGCTAACCCTTGAAAGCAAAGCCAGTGCAGTTGTACCAGGACACAGCTTTCTGGGGTCAGAACCAGGACTACAGCTTATGGAAGATTCCTTTTTATCTCCCTTAGGTTGTCAGAGGATGGTGAAGACTCAGATGCCAGCACATGCGTTCATCAGGCAGAGGATAAGAAGAGCCAGAAATCAAGGTGGTGGGTTCTCCCTTCAGTGAAGCAAAACCGCTTTTGGTAAACTGTCATTCCTGCCACTTCCATGGTGGGGAGGCGGGGTTAACGTTTCAAATGCATTCAGAGGCAGGGTAAGGGAGAAAGGTGGAGTTACTTTCCACTTTTAGAACGGAAAGAGGTAAAACTGTTGGTGTGTTTAAGAAGGTAGAATCCAGGGACAGCATGTCTCCTTGTGAGAGTCCAAGTAGCTGGACTCTCCTCCTGCAGAAACGGGATAACTGAGGTTACTCACTGAGCTTAACGGTCTCTGGGCCCCTGTTCTGAACAGCATCACTTGTATTTGGGGGTACAGGGCCCCCCAGCCGGGCACAGGACATCAGATAGGCTATCCAAGCAGGTAGATCTTGTCCCTTTTTGCTCTGTGTTCGTCTGAGGCTGGCACGCTTTCTGTTTCCAGATAAAACAAGATTGTCCAGTTGAATATGTGGACAAGACAGAAGAACACAGAGCCCCTCCCTCAAGAGACCATAAGAAGTGACGAAGGATCATTTCACAGAGAAAAAAGTACCAGCCATCTGAAACCCAAGTCCCGCCACGCATTCACAAAGCATCCAGATCCTTTGAATCTCTAGGGACAGAGGAGCAGACACACAAGGCAAACCCATGATGGGAACGACAGACTGCAGGATGTTCTGTCAGGTATGCTGAAGTCAGGAACGAGTCACCCACTTCAGGGTTAGGACCAAAGAGAGACAAGTGCCAGATTCACATTGTTAACCAAGAAAGATTTCCAGGGTGAATTTTAAAGTGCCAAAAGCTGAGTGTGTGTGTCAGGGCACTCAATAAATACATCTTGCCTGAGTCTTAAAAGTGTGCCACTATTTATGGACAAGATGCAATTTACACCTAAATCTAGAACTTCTTTTAAATTCTTCAAAGACGAGAGTGGTACAGGGCAGGGGATCCTTTAGCTCTACAGTGCCTGTTTCCAGCTTTCTTGGTCAGTTGGGCCCCTGCTGCTAACACCTGTGTTGAGCAGGTGCCTGATTCCTGCTCTCCCCCATGTGTCACAGCTGCTGCGCCCTGTCCTACAAGGTGACACCTCTCCCCCAACTGCCCCCCTCCTTGCAGCAGCATCTCTCAGCCCATCACATAGTGAGGCCCTAACAGTTGTAACCACATACTCCCTTAATAAATCAACGAAGACCTCTTTTAAAAAGTGGACACTACAATCAGTAGTCAAGTAGGAACTGTCTGGCTAGGTAGAGGACAAGAAGTTTCTATAGAGAATCTATCAGATGAAGGGGGTAAACCGAGATCCCAAAGAAACGCCAGAGCAGGCAGACACACGTGAGAGTTCTAAGCTGCTCACGGAGAACAAAAGGCCCTTCTATAATGGACTGACAGACTCGTCAGAGCTAACGCTTCCAAGATATCAAGACGACAGTTCATTCAAATCTGTGACAGCACTTTGCATATAAACTGCCCCCATTGGACTTTAAGTGCAAAGGGTGGACAAGTTTCTGACAGCCCAGCCTCACCTTTAGCAGACAGACACTGTGTAAGAGAGTGGAGGGCCCGGTCATTTTCTCTTCCAGAGCTACAGAGAGATGGCTGGATGAAGAGCAGACTCTCACAGGACCCTCCCCAGACTCCTGAGGGTCATCTCTGTGCAGATCTGTCTGTTCTGTGCCCGAGGAAGCAAAACTTGAGAGTCCAGTAGCTCTTGAACTCTGCACGGCCAGCATGGTTTAGTTCCTCCCCAGGACCACACACCCTCCCTGTTCCAAAGGGACAGCAGTGTTTGCCGAGTGGGCCTGCTGCAGAAGGGGCAGGTAAGGAGACGGGACAAAGATGCACCTGGAGAAGAGGACGGTCAAGATGGGAAGAGTGAGCTTTGAGCAGCTGAAAGCAGCACTGTTCAGACAGCAGAAAACCACCTCTGTGCGGTACATTTTCCAAGAAGATCAATACAAAAGGCAACATGGTCTTTCCCTTTCAAACACTGGCTTGTTTACTCAGGCCCCCAGACCCTCTTCTAGAGATCAGCAAGACATGAAGGAAATGTTAGGAGGGTGGCCCTGATCTGCCAGTCTAGTAACTGGGTCAGTAGGGAGGCTGGGATGTCCCAGGCCGGCTGTTTGCTACAGACCAAAGAACATGCACGTGGTGCCGCTCGTGAATGAGGTAGATGGTCATCCTCTTGTAGAGGGATCGGTGCCAACCCCCAGCACAGGCTCTCGCAAGGGGCTGCCTCGGATCCACAGCAACCCGCCAAGATGAGCAGGTTATTCCGAGAAAAGTCAGCCTCACAGAGCTGGACTCTTGCCCTGCGGCCTGCATACCACCAGTTCCCCTGCTTCTAGATACAGCCAGAGAAATCAGACCCCTGGCTCCCCACTTCCACGAGTGCAGTCTTTACCTGTCCTGCCTGTCACACATGCTTTGTGTCACCATGAGGATCGAAAGGGGTGGAGTGGGGGGCTGGAAGAACAGCCCAGAGGGAGTATTAGATGGTTAACTGCACTGCAAAAGGGAGGAGGGAAGGTGGAAGGAGAAGAGAGGTTGCAAAGCAAAAGGTTTAAAGCAGGTGAAGCTTAAAATCCTATCTGGGAGGTAAAAGGTGGGAAGCAGAGGGTTGGGACTGGAGGGGAGCCCGGCATTACTTTCCATGCAAGTCACTTAGCTCCACATCATCCTTTCGGCGCTTGTGGGTAAAGAGGGAGGTGACAGGGTAGAGCTTGGCCTTGGCCTGGAACCGGTGTCCCGCGATGTCAATCTCATACTCTCCCCGGTTGATGAAATCTGCCGTCACAACCTGTTCTTCCCCAGTATCTTCAGAAAAATTGTGCACAAAGCCCAGGCAAACGTGGCGCTCCAGGGTGTAGCTATAGGCGCTGCTGGTGGTCTTGCCTGCGTACTGCCCGTTGCGGTAAATGGGTTCTCCCCACCAGGGCCAGAGGTCCAGGTCGGTGTCGTGATCGTCCAGAATGAACATAGTGAGGCGTTTGTACACCCCGTTCTGTTTCTGCTGCAGCAGGGCATCCCGGCCAATGAAATCCATCCCCTAGGAGAGAACGGCAATGCTGAGAGCAGGCTGACGTGCTGATGCTGGGCACAGAAGGGGCGGTGGGTAGGGTCCCCTGATGTACCTGCCATGGGGGCAGCACCCCCACTCCCCAGATTTGGGGAAAATGTAGGTTTTCCACCTTGTGAAAAACTGCATTCACAATATAGAAGACCTACTCAGAAAATTTCTGTAACACAGGTGTACATTTTTCTCTTTTGTAAACATAGATTTCAACCACAAGACCACACAGAAAAAAAATACTTAGGAAGAAAAATTCAAAAATACTTGCTATAATTGTTTTCAAAAAACCATGTTTTTAGATAATCTCAAGAGAAAGCCCACACATGTATGTATTTGAATGTGCAAGAAACATGACCAGCATAAAAAAAAAACTCTAAGTGATTATGTACAGATAAAATAGGTGATTTGGGGGGGCACCTGGGTATCTTGGTTAAGTGTCCAGCTTCGGCCCAGGTCATGATCTCCTGGCTTGTTAAGTTCGAGCCCTGTGTCAGGCTTGCTACCCTCATCTCAGAGCCTGGAGCCTGTTTCAGATTTTGTCTCCCTCTCTGTCCCTCCCCTGGTCACACTCTTTCTCTTAAAAATAAGCATTAAAAAAAAAACTTATAAAATAGATGATTTTTAATTTTCTTCATATTTTTCCCTATTTTCCAAAAATTAGTATTCATTACTTTTATACCTGAGAGAAAAAGTGATCTGTAATTGCTCACAAAGACGACTAGAAATCTCCCATACTGATAGGGGTATTTTGTACTGCTAAGGTATTTTGTTAGGTTTAACCTAAAAAAACAAGGTGTGGGGCACCTGGGTGGCTCAGTTGGTTAAGAGTCGGACTTTAGCTCAGGTCATGATCTCCTGGCTCGTGAGTTCGAGCGCCACGTTGGTCTCTGTGCTGATAGCTCAGAGCCTGGAGCCTGCTTCAAATCCTGTGTCTCCCTCCCTCCCTCCCTCTCTCTCTCTCTCTCTCTCAAAAATAAACATCCAAAACAAAACAAAACGGTGCAATAATACAGCAGGCGTGTGGTGCCCAGCCATCCAGGTTCAAGTGGGGAAAGCGTTCGCTTGTGTGTTTGCATACTCAGAGTTCTCGAAGCAGAGACAAGCTGCTGCAGCCGGTAGTGCAGTTTGCTGGGCTTCAGACATGGGAAAGAGACTTGTCACTAACATCCTCTTGACCTAGGACTTTGTAAAAAATGATGTTCCTATTTACTCTGGGGGAAAAAAAAGTCTGTTGAATGGAAGATTGATTTTTACAAATGTCTGTGGCACGTTCTTGGAAAAACTTCCCTGAAAGTGCCAATCTAAAAGGGAGCCGAGTGGGGCACACGGCTGCCGCAGTTGGTGGAACAACTCCAGCCTCAGGGTGGTCCGGTTCAAAGAGCAAGCCAGGTGCTCAAAACCAGTGTTCTCCACATACCATGTTTTCCTATCAGGCCGGACACACTTTTCATCCTGAGGACTCCTCACTGTCTTCGTCCACCCGAGGCCCTTTGCGGGCCTCCACTTCAGCCCTTCCTTGCTAGGGCAGAACGTGCCGATACCGTACCTTGTCCAGTTTCACCCGAGATTCTCGTCCACATTCCAGGGGTGTGGTGAGGGTGTTTAAATCCTGACCCCAGAAAGCAAAGAACTTCTCGATTCGAAGACTACGAAGAGCATAATAGCCAGCATTCCGGATTCCGTATTTCTGCCCAACACTCATCACTTCGTTGTACACGTGGAGGGCATACTAGAGGGAGAAACGAGAGGTCAGCAGCCCGCACACCTTCAGAATTCAACACGGAGTGTGTCTGGCAGCACCCAATGGGGGACACCATGAACCTCAACAAGCGAGGAGGGTGTATGCTCATCCTCGAGCAACTGAAGCACCACTGCCCAGGAGTAATGAGCCAGGGTCACCCTAACCCGACTTACACTCCATGGAAGCAAGAACCATAGCTTTCCCTTCTCTGTGGAGCCTGGGACAGGGAGCCAAGCACACAGCAGTCCTCAAATGAGAATCCTACACACACTCTCACCACCCCGTCAATGGCCAGGCCCACAAGTGCCTCTCAGTCCGCTCAGCCACTGCGGCTCTGCTCTCGCCCCAACTCCCCACCCCATCCTCACTCGTGCATTGCCCGTGCTGGGAAATGTGTGTCACACAGGACCCCATGGGCCATGTCTGTTTTTTCCACAGATGGCACATCTCAGAGACGACCCCCCCCCCCCCCGCGCTCAAGTGACTGAGCCAGGAAGGCGGCGCACCCTACCCGTGTCCCACAACGGCCAGCCTCTCGTTATTCTTGGTTCTGGAAACTGTATCAGACACCCTAAATAAAGTTTCCTCAACTGAAGGCAGATACTCATACTGTGTGATGTTTAAATGTATTCTGTGACGTCTAAAGCCTAGTAACAGACTACATTATTAGCTTTAATAACTAAAAAGACAAAACGACAAAAGAAATTAATTAGAGAAACGTCTCATGATCGCATTTACGTGTACAATCGCAAACAACATGACCCAAATCTGCAGAAAAAGAGGCTGGAGTTGTTGTTGGCAGAGGTGGGGAGAGGAAAGTGGGGACTGGCGGAAGGGAGGCAGAAGGTACAAACTTTCAGTTACCAGACAAATGAGAACTAGGTATGGAATACCTAACCTGATGTCCGCAGCAGACACTGCTGTGTGACAAGTAACACAAGTTGTTACAAGAGTAAATCCTAAGTGTCTTCATCCCAAGGAAAAAAGCTTTTTAACAATGTTTATTTTTGAGAGACCTAGCCGGGG